AAAAAAATTGAGAATAAATAACTACAAAGAAATGCTGAATTAAATGTGAAATTGACAAAAAAAAACTGAAATTGTATATTCTTGGAAAACATACTCCAATTACCTTTGTTTTATTTACAACTGTGGAAAATATACTTTTATGTAATATGTAAATATACTAACACAATATGATTCAAGGTCCGTCTTCTTCACGTCAGTATTTTAATCATCCTGAGTCCTGACCGGGTTTATTTTACAAGCACATAGTTCATTATTTATTTTCTTCAGGTAAGAAACAATAAGGCAATAATTATTTTTATGTTCTAGCCGATAACTGATAAATAGCTTATATTAAAATTATGCAATTTTTCTAAATATATTTTTAAAAAACGCTAACTAAAATATAACAATAACCACAATAAATTTTAAAACTGCTAATGAATTTAGACACCACAACATAATATGAAAATTGTATATTCATTTTGTGATTTTAAAATGTTTCATTTAACAGTGTTATTATATTATTGGTGTTTTAAAATATTAAACTAAAGTGAGAAATACAAGAAATGAGAATCTTATATTGACTGATACCAATCATTAAAAATAAATGTACTGACATAAAACCATCCCTAGTTGAAATTATGTGATGAGAGAGAAATTCAACTAGCAAAAGTTTGACCGCAGAATGCTGAGACTGACCAATTAGAATTAAATATAAGCTATAATGAAATTTCGTATTTGTTTCATATGAAATTGGGGTAAAATATAACTGACACATTCTAGATCCTGATCCAGGATAATATTTGCTCAACACACACCTCATGCTGCAGAGATCTCTTGGTCTCTATTGATTGTGAGTTTGCTATATAAAGCATGTTAAACTAACAACATCCTCAAAGGTGCTGCCCATGGCCGCAAGCACAGTGGACACTGATTGGTAGTACACACAACCTCGGTGTAAATGTGAGAGCGGGCCAGCCTCAGTTGTGCAGGGTGTGTATGCGGCTGGAGGCAGGCTGTGCTAATAAAAGGTGTGGAGTGAGAAACTCAAGGGAACTCCGGCAGCAGGAGAGGAGTAATTGGGCTTTGCTGCATCATTAAGCTCCGTTAGGCACAGTCACACCATCAGAGGCTCCATCAGAAACCAGACGACGAGGGTGAAATTTGTAAAGCACAATAGGAGAAGAGTTGCAGCTCTGCAGCCGGTTCATTAATAATAAACTTAAGATACCGCTTAAGGAAAGGAAAAACTGTCAAAAGTGTGAGAAATAACCATTATTGAAAAATAGGTTTACTATAACGCAGGTGACACTCTGCCAGCACTGAGTACCTAATTACCATCAGGGCCTTGGTATCCGTTTTTTTGAGAGATGAAAAACACTGAGACGTATTCAATTAAAGCAGCCGGGAAAGCAGGAAACAACTGTCCATCATCAGGGAAATGGGACATAACAGTAATCAGTGAAGGGCTTGTAGCTAGTGCGCTTATTTAAAGCTAGCTGTCGAAATTTACAAAGCTATTTTTAACTTTAAATACAAAGAGATGGGGTTTTATGAGGTTATACTTAAGACTAAGGATAAAAAGTTTGGGGTTGGCAAGATTTTTTTGAAAGAAGCCTCTTTTGCTCAACAACGGCAGCATTTATTTGATCAAAAATGTATTAATATTGAAGAATATTATTACAATTGAAATTACTGTTTTCTATTTCAATATATTTTAAAATTGAATTTATTCCTGAGATCAAAGCTGAATTTTCAGCCTCATTACGCCAGTCTTCAGTGTCACATTATCCTTCAGTATTCATTCTAATATGCTGATTTGGTGCACAAGAAACAGGATTTTCAGGATTTTATTAATAGAAAGTTCAAAGGGATGATTTAGAAAGCTTTTGTATCATTATAAATGACTTTACTGTCTCTTTTGATCAATGTAATGATTTTTTGATTATTAAAATTACTAATTTCTATTAAAAAAAAATTTTTATAAGTAAAACATCAGGAATGCTTATTTTTTTTAAAAGTGGTTTAAATCCGAAATAGGATACAAATCTCTTTTCACACACCGAAAAAAGTTTTGCGAAAACAAAAACTCAAGCTAGATGCCAAACGACAAACAGGAACAGGAAATGACGGCACAGCAACTACCCACAACAGCCTACCATTATAGAGGCAAGTATTGCATGAAAACCACTCACATTTTCATCAGAAACATTAGTTGTAAATATAACAAGAACAGGAAATGTACAAGGAAATTCAAATTTAATAAAGTGAAGCAGACAGATTAAAAAAAATGAAAAGAAAATGAAAAACTGTGTATGCATTTACGCAGATACCCATTGTACAGCATCTTTAATTTCTGTCACATACATCTTTCTTTGCGTGAGTGAATAACACAGGCGAGTTAAGGCCATGCTGTACCTTGTTTAGTCAGAGCATCTCTCAAGGCTGGAGTGATCATCTCTCTCCGCTCCTCCTCTGACTCGCTCTTCCTCACTCCATTCTGCTTTGACAGCTTCACCCTCTGGGAGTCCTCTTCATCTCCCTCCATCCTCTGCAGCACATACAACCACAAAGAAAAAAAAAAGACACAAAACCAGTCACATTTAAAAAAAAAAAACGAATTAATTCATACAACCTAGTCACAGTTACACAACCAGCCATTGTGCGTCAGAGGAACCAACAGAGGCTGAACCTTTAACATATTATTCAAAAAGTACATAACTAAAGTGATAAAATTTACTTTTTTAATCAATTTACTTACTAATGTGCATAACTCCGAGGCATATAATGATTTTACTGTCATACGAAGTAGCCCAGGTGAGTTTTAATCATTATACAAAACCTTGGAGTTGATTGTTCAGCTGACAACATTGAAAATACATCTACCCAAAACATTTCCAGTTGGCAAAAACTTACACATGTATAGCCAAATGAACAGACTCTACTTATATCCCTCACAGCTACTCTCATAAGAATCAAAGTAAATATTATGCCTAACTTGACTAAAGTCTTGACATAGCACCACACATCTTTCCTTTATTAAAGATGCAATTTTTTAGGAAATGAAAGAGGTTTACTATTTATCAGATATCACATCGCATATTTAAAAACTCCACAGAGCTTAATTTCATATTGAACTGTAATTATGTAATTGATTTCATAAATCAAAGACTTGGAAACAGATACTGCTTTGAAAATGATGGCACTAATGGGATGGTTTAAACAGAAATGACACAGCCATATGGTTCTGAGGAAACACACTGATGAAGGTCTTGGACTACCATCACTGAACTTCAGCACTCAAGCGCTCTTATGCAAACAGACTGCATTAAACTTTATTGCGATTCCAGGCTGCACAGGTTCCAGAATATACAATCTGCTGGAAATCAAGTCTGACTTACAGTTCCTGCTCCTTTTCCTCAAATGTTATTATTCCATATTTCTTTCCATACATATGGCAGCATTGGCAATTTTTTTCCACACTAAAAGGTCAGAGGCAGTCTGGCTTCAGATTCAGACAAAGGGCTGTATTCGGCAGATGAAGGGAATTATCAGGCAAGCTGGATGCCATAGGTCACTTTAGATGCTCTACGCAGGATGTTCAAAGGACATGTAAGAAATGTGCAGTATCTACCAAAGAACGAATTACTAAAAAAAAAAAACATATGACAAAGGTTATGTTCTTACCATACCCTAGATTAAATAATAGACTTCAAATG